TTTGCGGGGCGGCAAGAAAGACGTCTGTGCTCTCCGAGTGTTCTTCGAAAAACAACTGATAGCTGGCAATGCTGCACATGTTTCCGCAAGGGTTGCAGCATGTGGATTTTTCGTTTTTCGTAGCGTAGCTACGAATTACGAATTACGAAAATTCGGGTTCTAGAATAAGGGGGTAAGTCGGGATTTCGTAAAAATCACTCGTGTGAGAGTACAATAAATCACATTGGCGGCGAGTGAATGAACTGTTCGCGAAAAAACAAAAATAGTGGCGTTGTTTCTCGACATAAAAAGAGCTTTTGAAGCCATAGACAGAGAAATTCTGATCAAAAAGTTATACATGTACCATGATTCAATAATGAAAGGTTTTGTAAGAAAAACTTTCTCTCGCTCTAATTTTATCAATGACACTCCCACCATACTCCTAAAAACAAAAACAGTGATATTTCTTTTCCAAATATCTTTGCAAGTTTTAAGAACATTTTTAAATTGTTAGTAGTGAAATTTTTACTTTTTAAATTTGAAGAAATGTTTGTTCTTCATTCGCTGGCGCCAACAAGACAAAATGTGTGAGCATCGTTGGACTACAGAAATTCAATGTAGGCTAAAGAGACGAAATTCTCTTAAATGCCGAAATATATTTGTCGATATTCGTGGAGACCTCTTGATTCTGCCAAGTCGCTGTAAAGTAAAGCATGCAATGGTTTTGGTAAATGAGCCAACGAAGGTATTTAGGTATTGTCCTCCACAACACACTCCTGGTGTCTCCGAATGAGGCTTTGATGCAATATAATATTGCCAAACCGCATCCATAGGCCCAATCGTCACACGACAGCTCGGTTTAGTCAATGGCGCGATGTATGTAATTGCACACTTAAAAGGTTTACGCACGAGGCGAATGTTGGCTGGCGGGCGACCAACTTTGTTGAAAGCGATTACTTGAAAGTAGAATGCAAAGTTGAACAATGCAAACGCCTTTTTATGGCGAATATTTTTATATTTTTTTTATATTTTGATATTTTTAATCATTCAAATTTTTTTTTCGGGCAACCCGGCGAATTGTTAATATTCTGACAGTTGTATAGTCTCCCCAGAATATTAAAAGTGCGACATCAAAGAATTCGAATTACCATATTCGAAACAATCGAGCCATATCCGCGAAGGAAACGTAAGCTCCAAATTTTTTTATTTGCCGTTTTTTTTTTGTTTAATAAATACTGCATATTTTCCACAAACAAATAGCTTCTTCATATCCATCATCTGACCTGAAAGTGGACCATCCATTCTCGAGTTATGCGCCATCTGACGTACGCGAGTTTGGTATATACATAGAAATATTTATTTTCAATAACAATCGGGCTTGTTTAAATTAAATAATTAAATCAAATTCGTTTTTGTTTTAAAATACCACCATTCACTATTATCCACACCTTTTTATGGAATTTAGCTCCCATTTTAGGAAGTGTGATTGAATTCTTCCCCTTTTTCCCCTGCTTCCATAAACCATCCCTGTGGGTGGGAGTGCCAAATTTTAGAAAAAAAGCTACTTACAAAACCTTTAATAATTGAATCATGTACATGTACGGTATAAGAGGAAAAGAGCTACAGTGGTTTAGGCAATATGGCTGACCTCCAAAACGTCAATTGCTTTGCATACGTACAAAGTATAAGGTTCCATAACGTCGAACTACAAAATATGGACAATGTATACTGTTCCAAAACGCAGCCCAAAAGTTATCGAAACGCATCGCTGGAGCAACCAGCGCATCAGAAACAAAGTTGATGCTTCGTTTGTTATTGGTTAGCATTCGTGTTTTAGAAATGGAAAATTCAGAAAAATTGTTCATTGCTATATTGAATATTTAAAATATGCAATGTATATGGTTGCAATGTGTCGCAACTCTGCATATACAAACAGTTTGAATACCGCAGTATAACAGTTTCCAAACACTGTATTAATACGTTTTGGAAGTCAGCCTATCTCTCAAATCGTAGACAACAAACTAAATTTGGATGTTCGAAATCTAATTATGAATTTGTGAATGTGGGAGTTCCTCAAGGAATGAATTGGAAAAGTAATAGAAAAATCGAAAATTGCAATGTATGCGGACGATACGTTAATCTACCCGGAAGCGGAATCAGTGGAAGAATGTAAACAAAAAATAGAATGTGATATGAAACAAATGATGATATGGCTGAAAATGAATAGGCTCAAACTTAACGAACAAAAAACTAGATTGATGGTAGTAAATTCTAATGATGAAATAAATTTAGTACTAAACCAAATAGCTATTGAACAAGTACAATACATTAAATATTTAGGCGTAATAATACAGTGAGTTCAAATTTAATGATGATGTAGATTATTTATGTAAAAAAGCTCCCAAAAAAATAAACTTCTTTAAAAGGATACGCAATAAATTGGACATATTAACAGCAATAAAAATATACAATACAATAATAAGGCCACATTTTGAATACTGCTCAACGATACTGTACACATGTTGCAATAAATCACAAATAGAGAGAATACAGAAGTTACAAAATAAGTGTATGGGATGTATAATAAGATGCAGCATATATACCCCAGTAAGGCTAATGCTGGAAACATTGAAATGGCTAAGCATCGACCAAAAATTGAAGCTTAACACGCCAATAATGATATATAAAATTAAACAGAACCTGGCTCCGAGATATCTAACTAAGTGCATCCAATATGTTAGAAATACACATCAATATTCAGTGAGGAATGCGAATGACTTTCGACTTGGATTGAAAAGGACTACTACAACGCAAAACACATTAATGTATAAAGGCTTAATTAAGTCTTTTTAATTCCCTGCCGGACAACGTGAAAAATGAAAACAATTTTCTGACTTTTAAAACAATGTGCATTAATTTTGTAAAAGGCTATAACTACTTTTATTATTTCCTGTAATTCATAATTTTATATACATACATAGTAGAGTGAGAAATGAATTTGTGATATTTAATACAATATTGAATTAAAAAATATGTTAACATATTAATAATAAATTTATTAACCTAATAAACCTAACCAGGTTAAACTCATACCTGAGCAGACTAAACGCAGATGTGCCAAATGAATGTCCGGCACGCGGAGAGACCCCTCACGACTCGAAACATCTCTTCGTATGCCCCGAAAACCCGACAATCCTAACGGCTATGTCTCTGTGGACCGACCCAATGGAGGCTGCACGCTTCTTAGGGCTGCCGTTAGTGGAACTTGACGACAACGGCTGAGATATCAACCGATCTGCGCGGGGTTGTTGTAGCCGCTACAACAACAACAACAGGGAATATTGCGCTGCAATATTTCTTGACTTCGCCCAGGCATTTGATCGCGTCTGGCTATACGGCCTTATGTATAAAATACAGATGCTACTCCCACAAAGCACACACAAACTGCTTAAGTCATACCTTTATAATCGAGTTAATGTAACACCACCATCTCTGAAGCCCATGCAATCGAAGCTGGAGTGCCACAAGGCAGTGTCCTTGGCCCGATGCTTTATGCCTTATACACCGCGGATATTCCTACAAACGACCGCCTAATAATGTCCACTTTTGCCGATAACACTGCCATAATCAGTCGCTCCAAGTACTGCGCTTCTAGGCAATCATATGGAAGCTTTTGCCAATTGGCTCGCAAACTGGCGAATAAAGGTTAACGAGCAAAAATGTAATCGTTCCCACGACAGTCGGGTCTACGTAACCGGAACGACCCAGATTTATATCTGGCCAAGGACTGTCACTCCAGCAACACTCCCCAAAAAGTCTTTGGGGAATTTGTATGCTGCTACAACAACAACAACAAGCAAAAATGTAAGCAAGTTGCATTTACACTGAATAAGAGTAACTGTCCGTCCTTGACTTTGATCAACGTACAAATACCACAAAGCAATCATGTCACTTACCTAGGGGTCCATTTGGACAGGCGACTTACTTGGCGAAACCACATAATGGCTAAAAGGACTCATCTCAAGCTGAAGGCCAATTCTCTCCAGTGGCTTATTAACTCTCGCTCACCCCTGAGTCTAGAGTATAAAGTGCTTATTTACAATACAGTTTTAAAACCGATATGGACCTATGGATGTGAGTTATGGGGAAACGCGAGCAGCAGCAACATTGAAATCCTTCGTCGTGCGCAATCTAAAATCCTTCGAACAATCACCGCAGCAGCTTGGAATATCCGAAATGAGAACATTCACCGCGACTTGAGAATACCAGAAGTACGAACCGAAATAGAACAACAGATGACCAAATATGTATTGAAGCTTTTAGTACACCCAAATCTTTATTGCGTGTCAACAGCCCAGTCGTAACCTTCTTAGGGCCAGTTAAGATTATACTTATCCCAACTAGGGGATGTAAATTAAGTGAATAGAATATGATTCGAAAACTTATTGTTAGGCTCTTAGGCAGGGCAGATTCAATAAATAAAAATAAAAAGTTAAAAAAAAATAATCTATATTTTCATGCGCCTAACTATTTAAAAAAAAATAGTTGTCTCGTAGTATTAAATATAATTATTAACCGACTTCCAAAAGAGGAGGAGGTTATCAGTTCGTCGGAGCACTTTGGACCACGTCAGCCGATTTCGATAACTCTTTTTGCATCGGAAAGGTAGTGTCTCAGAGGTGGTCCCATACTAATCTGGTTAAGATCCGATCAGTGGATCATGAGATATATGTATATATTTTTTTTATTATATGAGAGTTGAAGTCGGTTTTTTTTTTGCTAAAAATTACTTGTGAGTATTTAGATTAAGCTTTATAACCCTTATTCATTTTCTGTTAGTTTTATGTATACACATTATTGTACTGATTAAATTTCTTTTTTAATTTTGTAACTTCCATCCTATACGATGTATTAAAAGACTCAAGTTTTACATATACACCCGTATATTTTAAATAAATGATGCTTTACATGTCTATAAACTGAGTTGGTCCGAGGCTGGTGCAAAAAAAAGAAGGGGAGTGGCACCATTTACCTTTCCAGCTTGAAAGAACAAGACCAAGGAATTCAATGACATGAGTCTTTCTCCTTCGACTGCAGGGCTCCTCAGGCACGCCTCTTCAAAATAGAAAAACATCGAAGGCGGCATACGCAGAAAGGTCTGCGCAAAAAGACTATGGGATGGTTTCTCCGACTCAACTTAACTTAGTTTAGACTACGTCTAAAAAATCAGATAAATTAAGTTGAGTTGGAGAAACCAGCTCTATATCATCACCACGCCATCTTGAATACTCATATGCAGAAAATATTCCATCAGCCCGATTCGAAACAGAAACTCCCTGGGAGGTTTTTTCTCTCAAAAAATGTCCAACAGATATTTCGAAGTTCGAAATGCTACTCCCTGGGAGTTAATTATTCTCGGGAGAGACACATTTCCCGGAGAACAAACTCGCTGGGAGTATTCAGAATTGGGCTGTGTATCATTGTCCCCCCTTTTCGCAGTCAACACAGAAAGAATAATTTTGCGTACTAAGGGTTATAATACCTAAGCGCAGACGAAGGCCGCCAACGCGGAAAGGTATTCTGCGCAAAAATACTGTGGTAAGCGTAGCCGGAGTTCGACCGATGAGGGTTATTTTTGATCCGCGCAAAAGATGCCTATTTATTTCACTTTAAATAGTTGTTGTATTTTCTAAACAAAATCAACGGTGTTTTGCACAGTTTTCAAGAGGCTCGCCTGAGAAGCTCTGGAGTCCGAGGATAAGGCAATCATGTCATTGAATTCCTTGGCATTTGCTCTTTCAATTTGGAAAGGTGGGCGTCATTTTTTTTTTGTTCCAGCCTCGAAATAAATTTTAAATGCAGCCTTGATTTACACAAACTTGAGTTTAATAGACTTCGCTTTCCTATATGTGCGATTTTGTTTTATTTGTTACGTTGGAATGGGTGGGCCAAAATTAATGTTCATCGCATGCACACGTTGATAAAGAATCGCACTTTTGTAAAAAGTGCTTTTATTATTAAATAACTAATTAAAAAGAATAATATGTTGAAATACCATCAATTGCTGGTTACAAAGCCAATACACGTTGGCAAAAGATCACACACTTGACAAAAGAAGAGGCAACACGGAACCGAGAATTCTGCTTAGTCCGCGTTATAATGCTTAGGCGCCGGCGAGGGCCGCCTTCGCAGAAATAAGTGAACTCTGAGTAAATTTTAAATAGAATTCTAGGAAGGCTACGCTTTTCACTTTGGGAACGTGGATACAGCTGTCTAACAGTCTTCATACCCCGTTTTTTTTCCCCACTCCCTCACCTTCCGACGACCTGCCTTTTTAAAATCGCACATATAGGAAAGTTATCCCGTTTAATAACCCAAATGGTCTTAATAATCAGGTCGCCTATAATGTAAACAAATTATAAATTTCTTAACTACAATTTAAATAAAAAATGTATTACCTGTACTTTGTATTTTTTTTGTCATATCGGGATGAAATGAATAATTTTTCAAATATATCATTGTACCGACAATAAAGGTGAAAGGTTATCCCAGGTGTCCTTTCTAATCTCTCAATTTGTCGAAGAAAACTGCACGGTAAATTAGCCATTTCGTGCCATACCTTAATTTTTTGATATGAACTCCGATATACTACTAAGGGAAAAATATATAACAAAAACATTGATTGCTTTACTTAATATATTACCTTATATTACAGCATCGAAGCATTTTATTCAGTGAGATGCAATTACCCATCACAATGGCATTGGACTCGCCAACAGTGGGAGTGTAAGACAATCTGCATGCCGCATAAAGTGCACAACAAAACCAGTGCAAAGAATCTCCCTATTTACGAAACTGTTACATTGTTTTTAAGCCTTGGATTTTAATTAGTACCTCTAGTGTTGATCGCTGTAACACCTCTTCAAACATTTTCCATGAAAGGTCTTCCGTTTCGCGGTCCATATTGAGTTCTCTACATAAATCTTCATATTGGGAGCGAAAATTGGAAGCCGATTCGTTATTTTCGGACATTTCTATTTCACAAAAACTTGCAAGTATGTATGAAGTGTGTTTAGGGCAATAGCTGCCCAGATAAGCAATAAATAATTAGCACTACTACGATACTAATTTTAAATCTGATTCAAAATCATCCCGACACTAATTTTTACGGCTCATTTTATTTTATGACAGTTCATGTTTTTTCCTGTATCTAAGAATTTTATATGTAGGGACACGAATTTCGATACGATACGATACCAATTCGATACTCTTGATATTCGATACCGATACTTTCTACTCGATAGTTTTAAAACGATATTTTTTGGAATCGAGTACCAGAACCCTAGTATCGTATCGAATGTCATAAACTCACATCCAACATTAAGGGAAAAAATTTTAGAATTAACAAAAAAAAAACGTGCTAAATTGAAAAAAATACTCATATGAAAGAGAACCAACCCAACCCGTTTTAAATTTTAGTATATACGTTATAAAATATGTGGTTGTGAAGTGCACAGATGCTTTTTCGTAATTAAGAAGAAAAAAAATTAATTTTATGTTCCGTCTGATGGGAATTGAACCCGGACCCTCTTGGCCGCAACTAATTGTATCAAGCGTCTTTGCACACTCAGCTACAGCCATACATGTAAAAGTGTTTGAATCAACAACACAGCCCGCGATTAGTGCATTATGTCATACCATGTATGTGTGTATGTGTTGTCACCGCTGTGCATGCTTTGTATACATATACTTTCTTAATTTCATATGAAAAAGCATCCGAGACGTGCAAAACGCCATCCGTGTAGTGAAAAATGCTTAATTTTAATACGGTAGTATTTGAATTGAATATTTCCATTATATGTACGTAGTGTATGTATAATGGAAAAATCCGTTTTGTTAAAACTTTTCACTTGATTTAAATGCGAACATTTTTAAACGGTAATCAAATAAAAAAAAATTTATTCTAATAATGCGTTTTTTTCTCAGTGTACCTAATATTACCGGGCTTTATTGGGCTTTAAACTGCAGAAATTTGTACTATGGTTAGGATTGCATGTGGTGGGATTTGAACCCGCGGCTTCGGTGTTTAAGTCAGCACCTCAATCTCTACGTGTTGTAATAATAATAAAGTCCGGCGCTTACACAATATGTTAATTCTGATTCACATACTACTTTCTTCGCTTTGCTTGATAGTTCTTTGCTTTGACAAATAAGATCGATGTAGGCATATGCATGAGTATGCTCACATAAAAAACGTTTGAAGCAAAGCAAAGCAAAACGAAGCAAAATCTTGGGCAACTCTCAACTTTTGCCCGCTTTGGCAATCAGCTCTCTACATGTATTTTTTTTCTCGTGCGCTTGCATATGGATTTAACGACAAAAATAGGGTAAATAGGAATTTTTATTGCTATTATTAATGCATATTATTATATTGCTATCTATTTTACAGAAAAAAAATATAGAGGAAAAGGAAAACGCAAAAGCTGTTTATTGTAGCATAACTTCTGCGTTTCACGCTTTGTTGTCAAAGTTTGAACTGTCAAGCAAAGCGAGGAAAGTTGTATGTGAATGGCCCTTTAGTGTTTGGCCGAAGTTCTCCTCCGATTTGTCGCGTGGGCCTTAATGTTGTGGCACAAAGGGGGTGCCTATAGTTTTATGTCGACTCTGAAAGGGTTTTTTCGTTTTCAAGGTTTGCGCACTTCTAACCACTACACCCAAACGGCCTATATGCGAAACCTATATTCAGATAAATTTTTTGGATTTTGGTATCGATATTTGGAATATCGAGTCTTTTTATTCCGATATTTTATAGCGATACTTTAAATGAGTACCATATCGATACTTTCGGTTCGATATCGTGTCCCTATTTATATGTAAATGTCACAAAATCGCGGGAATTTAGCATTGTTGCCAGCTTCCCCGAACTCTAAGGAAATGAGCTAAGGGCGTTTCACACGTGGCAATTTTTCCAACCTTTCAACGCAATGGCAATTAATTTTGTCACGTCGGGAAATCGCTATCACGAAATTCTCCGCAAATTCGACACCCTTATGCTGTGATCCGAAAGTTCGTAGTTACGAATTCGTAGCTCCGTTCCGAAAATTCCAAAATTGGTATGCCGTAATCCGATCGTAACTATCAGCAGCACTGCCAGCTTAAAACGTGAAATTCGAAGTTCTTAGTCAGTTGTTTTGACAGCAACAAATCAAACTAAATATAATCGCAAGTGAATAGTGAAATAAAAAAAAAAAATAGTTTAATCATTATTTGAAGACTTTTCCTTAATTAAGTAGAATACAAAGGATTCAGTGGCCGGTGCACTTTTGTCCCAGGAGGAACAGCTGAGGCTATCTGCACACTTGTCGTCCAATCATAGTTGCGTTATCGTCTCGTCCTGAAATTTTGAGCCGAGCACATGCATTTCAAAGGAGATCTGCACACTTGTCGTTATAGGCAAATCGTAGAAGATGCAGAAACGGATAAGTACGGCACTGTCGTTTGCTAATTGTTTGTTTACATTTTATGGGGAAAAATTAGTGGAAAAGCATAAAAATTATTTTTTTGCATAAAATCTGTGGAAATTATTAAAAAGTATATAACTGCATTAAAATTCAATAAATGTGATCGTTTTAACTATAAAATATGACGAAATTGTAAAAAGTCTCTGTGTGTATGCACAAAACACATTTCAGGAAAAGAAAAGAAGAGAAGAAGAGAAACACAGAAAATAACTGCTTCAAGTGAATTTTTAGACGCCAAATGAATTAAAATATCACGACCGAGTGTGCGAAAGTGTAGTCGTCATGTAATCGTTGCATCATGATTGTGACGATGAAGCAACTATGATTGGACGACCAATTTGCAGAAAGCCTAACAGTTGCATTAATATACAAAGGAGATGGCTGGCTTCAACCTAAATTATAGGTTCAGTTTCGTCACGGTGAGGCCGTGGCGACAAAAGGCGACAGGTAGCAAGGAGTCGGAGTCGCAGGAGACCCCAATCGAGGCGGCTGCCGACTCCTCCGCTGCCCAGACGACCCAGTCAACCTCGACCTTACCGGCGGAACAGCCACCCCTCGCACAGCCACCCCTCAGTCAGCTACCCCTCACCCAGACACCAGCTCCAGCAAGCACGTCCGAGCCAGCCACCACCACCAAGCCAGCGGAAGACGTGCCATCCACGCAGGAGGTGCTATCAGGCATCGACTTTTGGCGACTTGAGCTCGATAGGAGAAGCGAGAGCGAATTACAGCTCTCCGATCTCGACGAGCCCCAACTATGACCACGTGTCACTTGGCAGTAGCCCAGGTCAACCTGCATCATGCGGTGGCTGCTTCGGCGGTCATCTCCAGCAGGTTCGCCACGGATGACCTGGGCATTCTACTGATCCAAGAGCCGTGGACCTACAGAGGCCAGGTTAGGGTCCTCAACCACAACAACAACAAGGTAATTTGGGACCTCTCCTGCGAGAGGCCCAGAGCATGTGTGGTGCTTAAGAAGAACATTGATTACTTTTGCATTACAGAGTTTCTAACACAGGACAGCCTAGAGGTGGTGTTTGCCGCGGCTTATTTTCCGGGGGACAGCAACTACGCCCCTCCGCAAGAGGTACAGCAGCTAGTGGAATTCTGCAGAAAGAGACGGCTCCACCTCATCATAGGGTGCGTTGCGAATGCCCACAACGTTGAGTGGGGCAGCACGGATACGAACCGCAGAGGTGAGTGTCTCCTAGAGTACATCTTAAGTGAGGAACTAAGCATCCACAATGTTGGCCACACACCGACATTTGTAACGAGGGCTAGAGAGGAGGTACTAGACATCACGCTTAGCAACAGACTGGCTAGCCCTCTGGTCACCCAGTGGGGGGTCTCATCGGAGCCCTCACTGTCAGACCATAGGATTATCCAGTTTGCACTGGGAGTAGAAGTCAAAACTAGGCAGGCAAACAGGAACCCCAGGAAAACTGACTGGACAAAGTACAGCGAGACTTTAGAGTCAAACCTAACTGGAATTAAGTCCAGGAACAGGTACACTAACTGCATGAGCCTAGAGAGCACCGTCAATGAGTTAAATGGCGCCATTGTAGATGCCTTTCACTCAAGCTGCCCGGAGACAAAACCAGGAGGGAAGGCGCAGCCCAACTGGTGGTCTCGGAAGATATCGGTGCTCAGAAAGGAGGTACGCAAACTATTTAATAGAGCAAAGCGCACAGGGCGCTGGGCTGAGTATTCAGCAAGTCTAACTAATTACAGTAAAGAAATCAGGAGGGCTAAACGCGACAGTTTCAGGAAGTTCTGTGAAGGCATCTCATCGACTCCTTCAGCTGCCAGGCTGCACAAGGCCTTGGCAAGGGACCATACAGATACCAGACTAGCAATCCAGCTAGCCAATGGCACGTACTCAGGCAACGAAGAGGAAAGGGCACTTGCCCTGCTTTCGGCCCATTTCCCGGATGCCACGCCCACTTCGGGGGAGGCACCGTGCCGACGGACCAGGCCGTCCCCGGTGGACTGGAAGCTGGGTAGGAGTCTATTTACCCACCGATCAGTCTGCTGGGCGATGGACTCCTTCGACCGGTATAAATCCCCGGGGGTGGATGGCATCAGTCCAGTGCTGCTGAAGCAAGGCAAGGAGCTCCTACTTCCACACCTCGTGAACATCATGAGGGCTAGCCTAGCGCTCGCTCACATCCCCGAAGTGTGGCAGAGGGCTCGGGTTATTTTTATCCCGAGGATAGGAAAGAGAGATTATTCTCTAGCTAAGTCCTTCAGGCCGATAAGCCTTACCTCCTTCCTGCTTAAGGCGATGGAGAAGGTGATCGACCATGAAATCAGGAACAGCACCCTTAAACAGGTGCCTTTACACCCCGACCAACATGCCTACAGAGTGGGCAGGTCTACGGACACCCTGTCTACGGAAGTGCAAGATGCATTTGAGTGTGGGGAAACAGTACTCTGTGCCTTCATCGACATTGAGGGGGCGTTTGATAACACCTCTCATATCAGTGTCGACCGGGCACTTGAAAAACGCAATGTGCAGACAACGATCCGCAGGTGGATAGCCAGGCTACTAAATTCAAGAATCGCTGAAACCGATATCAGGGACAGCGTGGTACAGTTAAAAACTACAAAAGGTTGCCCGCAGGGAGGAGTCTTATCCCCTCTCCTGTGGCGCCTAGTTGTGGACGAACTTCTACGGATTCTCACGGACAATGGCATCCGCTGTCAAGGCTATGCGGATGACATCGTGATTATCGCCA